ATTTGGGCCATTATATTTGACGGATATATATATATATATATATATATATATATATATATATATATATATATATATATATAATTTGGGCCATTATGATTGACGGCTATACTTGATATACAATGTATATAATGGCTACTTACTTGGCTTGAATTCTTTTGACATATAATGGCTACCGGTGTGTGTGTATATATATATATTGATTGTATGTGAAGAAAAATTTTATGATTAATATATATCATTTTTTTGTGGATAACTCGTGTTAATAACATGGGATCGTGTTAATAACATGGGATCATGTTAATGAATTGATACAAATTATTTTATCATGTTAATGTAATTTTGATTAAATTGTTATAATTTGTATATGGTATTTGTATAATTCTAATTTTAGCTCTTAGTGATTTATATGATGAAATTTTTTTTATGATCTATATATTATTTATTAAATATTGGTAGATGTGAATTTAATTACTTAATTTTAATAGTAAAAATAGAATTGAGACCTGAATGCAACGATTGATGATGAGTGATTTAAAGAGATAAATATTGATTAATACCTCATATTGATTGATCACATGATATTTAATTATGGGCAATTTATTATAATATTCCGGTTTGAAAAATTATATTAGTTAAGATGGATGGTTGTCACCAAAGTGGTCTATTCATTAAAATTGATAGTTTTTTCTCATGCTTTTTGTGACACCCCAAAATCCGAGGGTCCGTTGATTACCCGTCAACCTGCAGAATACCCGTGGATACCGAGTAATTCGATATAACGCCATTATGCTCCATTTACCGGAAACCATAATTTTGATGAAATTCGAGCAAAGTCTCCTTTGTACGAGAAATTCTACCCAAAACTCAACATGTGCAATCATATAATAATAAGACTCATCCGAGGTCCAATATTCAACAATGACCACACCGGGTCCAATTATACGTAAACATTGGACACATCGGGTCCAATTATCCATATTTATATCAACACATGCAAGGTTAGTTTAATAATAGTCTATATAAGTTATATTACAATTATTTGCAAAAGATTATATGCCCAAAACATTATTTCCACAAATGTTTTATATTAACACAAAATAAAGTCACATTCGGCTTTCTTCAAACATGAGGGTCCAAAGTGGAGTCATTTACCAGTGTATCTCTCCCACCTGAAATATTTTTCCGTATAGGGTGAGCCAACGCCCAATAGAATAATCCCTACAGAGGCTACTCTCCACCTTAGGTGCATATGTGGTGTGTATAAGCAACAAACAACATTTAACAATCATTTCATACAAGAATAAGCATTAAATATGGAATGTAATCATTTCATGCCATGAAATGAGATGATAATCACTCATGCATTTAAACCCAAGTCATCATCGATTCCCACGACATAATGCAATGCCAAGGTATACTGAATCCGTCAATTGACGAAAAAATCCACCAAATGATCGTTTGAAATAAAAATTGTTTTATTATAAAATCAAATCATTGATGGGTGTTACACATTGTATGAGAACTTTGTAAATCAAAATCTTGTGTTTTGTTGGGCAACGGATTTTGGATTTTATACCGCCGATTTTTGTACACCATATTACACTTTTTCGGAATTTCACCATAGGGGAGTGTATAACCAAGTTGCCGGGTCTTGCACCCGAGGGGGGAATCTACCCCTTTTTGCTATACCTGACACAAGTTTTTTTTTCATGCAACCATTTGACTCATTCGGATTTTCAACCCAACTTTCCTGAGTCCACCCATCAATCACCAAAAATGGTGTTTGATTAACCATGCATACATACACCCACATTCATGACTCATGCCCATGAATGTGATGTCATATTTTCGTGCATATGCAATGTGATGCACCATTGCACAACAACATAATGTTCAATATGCTATGAATGACATATGAATAATTTTCAACACATCCATGATAAATTATATCCTAAGCATATAAATACCATATTTGTCACAAATGTCAATATATATCAAAACATGCAT